TGATTCGATTAAAATGGTTCATCGGTTTTCTAAGCGATTATCACCAACAATATTAAACCGTAACAGACTTTATTTGTGGTTTCGACTCGACTGATGAAAAACGCCATAAACCAAAAAACCAGGGACCTACCAGGCTAAGAAATTAATAATTATTATTTAATACGGTCATTAGTCGTATTCGCATGGACCTATTGCAGGTGATTTGGTCCCGTTTCTCACGTTTGCACACATCAAATACGCATGTACAAGTATTGTAATCAAACGAGTGAAACGTCGGTAGTAATTGAAAGCACCTGCACATGCAAATAACCGACAGGGAGAGATATCAATCTGTTTTGTCATTGCTGGTTTTCATTTTTAAATGATGACTTCCCGGCTGTTGACAATATATTTAGTGTAATAACAAACATCGGTCGTCCGTTAAATACCCAATGAGTTATTGCCGTTGTCTTTATTAAAATTCATCGTTGATTACTGGCGAAACGTGTGGATATACCGAATCACTAACGATTACTTCAAGTCTGTCTGTCTCATTGAACCACGTAATAAACAATTTCAACTGGTAACGGAAACATTTCTACATTTGCTATTTGTATTTATTTTATTTTTGTTATTTGTTTTATAGAAGTTTCTGAAGTCGCAATAAATTAAATGTACAACACACTGAAAAGTGCGACAGTAAAGTAGAAACCAAACATCGTACGAGTACCCAAAAGTCAAGAAGAACTCAAATCACACGATTTGATACTATTTCACTTATTTAGCAATGTAATGACGACAATTGTGACAAGTTACAAGACAACTGGTGAAACGACGTTATTCTAATCAGTACCGTTGAAAACTATGCGTTTTAAATACATCTCCCGTTTCCATTACCGGAACGGGAAAAAAACGATAATTATTATTATCTTTCGGATTACTCGTATTCCCACGTCTTAAATGTCGACGTCGAAGGGGAAACGCGGTTTTTGTTGGAAAACAGAATTTATATGCTGCTCGTCATAATCGTTATTCGCATGCAGAAACATTAATACCATTGTGACGGGTTTCGCTGTTCAAATCGAACCGGAACGAGAATCGGCGCACAATAAAACGTGTGTACTCCAAACGAACGGAGGGACCGCGAATATTTGCGTACAAATCGTCATTGGGTAATAATCATGGAAAGTAGTAATACAGTATTATGCCAGTAACAGCTACGAGTTAGTGCGCATAAAAACGTTGTTTCTTTAGCGGCGCAGCCGATCGGTACACCCTTATGCAAAAATTTCACTGACCGTGGGACAATAGCCGGGTCTGTTTCCCCCGACGGGACGACACGAATAAATCATACACAATAGGTGGCTAGTCTCCTCTTATTATTCGTCCTCCACTGTCTTTATGTTCCTCTCTCGGTCGTCCGGCTAAGACACTGACCGTTGTGCTAGTGCGTACCGCATTGTGTACGCATGACACGGATTGCTCCCGTCCGCCGATCTAAGAATATTTATATCGATCGGGTATATTTTATTCAAATGACCGATAGCGCATTATTACAACAGTCCAATACGCATTATTATGCATCATGATTTTTTTCTCAGGGTCCGAACCGGTACGCTGATCCGGGACAATAATTATTCTCATTGAACGCCAGAGCAGAATTTCAAATTCTACGCGGCCAATTTAGGGTCGTATATATTCGTCGTATTCACCAATCAATGCTCCGTGACCGATCGCAATAGAATCGACAAAGACAGTGCGAAACGATTGAGTGACGAATGGATAAGGCAACGGTTAAATGGCTAGTCCTTCTTGATTAATTATAGTCATCTGCGACAAAAATCCATAATTTATCCACGTACAATCAATTCAACTGTCACTGTATGCTTATTCATAGAATGCAACACCGAAATTGCGCAAACTTTAGAGAGATTATAAGTGTATAAGTAGTAGCGTTCTTAGAGTTTTTTCTTAGGAAGAGATGTACAATTTTTTAGCACCTTCAAAATATATCAATAAATATATTTATATACCACATATTTATTTTGGGGTATAACCCCCCCCAATCATAACAACGGAGTTATAAACGCATTTGAATTTAGTGACGAGCGCCAGAATATCGGGAATAAAAACTGACTTTTCATGTTATTTTCATAATAATTTTTTTTATTTTATTCAAATATATATATATATGTCTAATAAGTTTCTATTTGTTAAATTTCAAAATTCATCATACAAGAACATTTTGTAGTATTTTTTCAACGGAAGATAATAAAAAAAAGCATGTCTCTATGTTGAAATTTGATAAATGACATTGTACAGTTTTTTCACAATGCACACATATTAAACTATTCGTCTACGTAATTCTCAAGTGCCGGAAACATACCTAATGACTATTCAAACATTTTAACAACACAACGATGAATATTGAAATTAGATATTTGTTTCTAACGATATTGTAGTAGTCCATGTTATTTTTATTCTAATTAAACAAGTGTTATAGTAACGCATAGTAAATATTTAACGAACGTCGACAACAACTACGTACCGACTCGCGTATGATTTTTATAAAAATAGATATTTTATTTTATTCACATGATAAATTTAATGAAAATTGAGTTGACTAAAAATAAACCTCTCGTTAATAGAGTTTGAATGTCTATTATTTTGACTCGTGCAATCTCTTAGATAACATGATTAATTATTTAATTGTTTTTATTAAATGTTCATTACTTTAAAAGAAATTTAACTTCCTTTATGTTTCTCAGTAATTTAAATGGAATACAACAACAAGTATTTATTAACAAAATATTATAGAAACTATTGACTATCGGACTAGAATAATTTCTAGGATTAAATTAATCGACTTTGAAAAGAAAAAAACTAGATATTTGAGTTAATTAAACATTTTACTTTGAACTGTGAAATAATAAATGTATCATTTTACACGCAATCGTGAAGTCCATAATTTAAATAATATATTAAAAAAAGAATGAAAAGATTATCAATAGAAATTACACCATACTTCATATTAGATATTTATTTTGATGTACACTATTTAATAACTCCATCAAAACATTGTAGGGCGATACAAAATGCTAGCCTTTTTTATCTCTATATACTATACACTAAACTTCAATTACACTGTTTAGATAAACTAAACAATAATAATGACAAGAAATAATCAAATGTAATAAAAGAACTTGTAAAATCTAAAATTTTATTCATCTACAGTAAATTATTTTTTAAATTACCACATTATTAAAACGCGTTTAATGTGTTTTCAATGTATATACATTAATTTGCTCAGAGAAATCAATAAATCTCTAGCGAAAAGTAGTAAAGCACACATTTATATGTTGGTAATTTTTTTTTTGTAAGTAAATTTGTATACGACACTTTTGAACTATTGCAACACGTTTAGAGATATTTCATTAATACTCAAGTACATAATAAAATCTAGTACAATGTGAAAAGCATTGTTGTTTTATTACACTGGCGTTAAAAAAAAAATTAAATAAAATGAGAACGATAAATTGTCACGATTTCTATTAATACTAAGCAGTCGGAATGTTTTATCGTAAACTGAAATCAATATGCAGGTATGTGGGTGTTAATAGTGGAGAATCTCATAAGGTCAATAAAAAGTACATTCTCGATGCTTATTGTATTAGTATAGCAATACTTTTGTAATAAATCAAATCAATCAATGGAACTAAAAATGTGTAGAGCTCCCCAATAATGATTCGCTTTAGTCATTCCAACCAGTAATGAAACAATACAGAACAATAGTTTAGCTCGAGGGGATGCATATATGTTTTCACTGAACACTAAAAACAGCTTTTATGTCATCTTGAAACATATGTCCTCGTGGAAAGTTATTAATATATTTCAGTCTTAAGGCTATACGATGAAAATGACACTATTGTCTTGTTTGTAAAACGATCGTCTGAAAAGTGAAGACTACCGCGAGGAATTCATTTAAGACGTCCACTGAATAGCTCTTATTTGTCATTATTACTCGGTACGGGACAAACAGTACGGTATTTAGTCTGAGTAATGCCTGACCAAGGAGATGAATTACTACTATTGTTCTGCAGATGTACATTTGCAAAAGTATAAAGTGATTATATTGTAACTGTAAATAGATACGCGTGGTAAATTCTCGGCCACGATTCGGATGAATAATTATTAATTTCAATGATGCAACTAGTCCGTGCAGGACATAAGCGTGGGCATTGCAATGATTTATATCCGTCCCAATTGCATATACACACACGCTCACACATACTAAGACTTACTGTGCAACTAATATAGCAAAACGATACTTTTAGGGTAGCCAAACCGAACCACAATCCTCCGCCACCGGTATAATTTATGGGCAAAACGCGCGAGTGGTCCAGCCCTTTTACCTCTTCTCCCGACCCCATTTGTCTGGTGTAATTGCCAGACACTCCACGTCAAGTTTCGTTCTATAATTTAATTTGCACTCTTCTCTCATACACATACGGCTGTGTAAATCACAGGTGGTACAAGTCACAGCAGGTTTAGATTTGTTCCACTTTGCAAATGTATCATCCGTAAAATAATGAGCACTAACCGAATAAACGACTTTAATCTCTAATTTAAAACGATAGGGAAAATACGTATTATGTAAGCCACAGGTTTGACTTTTATTACAATGTTTTCCGGTAGTTCAACTTGTAAGTTTTGTACGTAGAACTCAAATATTCAAGATGAATATGTTGTTCAAATGATAAATCAATGTAGATAAATGATTAAATAATTTGATTAATGCTTTCTCAAAGCCACACAGTGTTGAAACATCGTGCCAACCGTAGCACTTTTTAATGGCTACCAAAGCTGAAAGAAAAAACTCAAATGTTGTAATTTAAATATCTTTTTGTTTTGGAACCTTAAAAATATCTTGAAACACGACGATAATATGTACAAAAGTACACACGAGTTACACAGAAAGAAGCAATTTTACACACAACATAAACAATTATACCTACCGGTTGGTCGCTCTTATTATACACAGCCTTCTGAACTAATGAAATCATCGGAACCGTTCATAACCTGATATCATAATGCCACTTATTACTTCCTCTTATTCATCGTCATATTGCTCTGCTTTGTGTAGCTAGTGGCTACGACAAAATCACACGCCCGACCGCATCATTTCCCTAGGGCACATGAAACCCAAGTGACCTTCGGCTATATCGCAAATCCAATCTAGATGGGGAGACCTGTATAATGCACAACAGTATACCCGTCAGTAACCTGATTAAAGTTCTAGAAAAGTCAAATTAAAAAAGTAAAGAACATAAGGGAAACACACACGGTGTATTATGCGTTCCAATTTAGTATTGTTGGCCGGGTTAAGGTTTTTTTTGCCGTTGCCTGAGGCTAAGCACTCAAAATATATAATACAGGCCCGGTCAATGTTTCGCATCGCCTTTAAACGACATTTACATATTGAATTGCCATAAAAAGTACCTAATGTATTCTTTTTCCCCGAGAAAACTTTTAACATTTTACACTTAAAAATATTGAAACCCGGAATCTGTTGAATAAAAAACCTACACTAATCTAAAACAATATTTATCATAAAAAGTAACATATTTAAAAGAGAAAACATAAGTTTACTATTTGACTCGTAAGATAAATGAAAAATTGTAATCTAACGCGATAGTAAAGAAACCCGATGTGAATGCTAAGAGTTTTTCGGTAAGGACATTTGTCAACGACTTATCAAAGTCATATTATTTATTGAGCCGATCGAACCAGTTGTGTGGCATTAAAGCGCACGATGTTGAACCGTTAACGCAATATTATTATATGTGTTAAATTATTCTTCTGGGCGATGGATTTTACCATATCGTACGCATTACACGGATATTAATGAACCCTATTATAATAACCATCGTCGCCATAACCACCTTGTTGCCGTGCAGTGCACGCGAAGCCGACGACGGACTGATTGACAGCACAATGGACCGAGCGCGAACGGACGGGCGTTTTTTAAGCGTCGCGCGCGCGCCACGACCATCGATAGGATAATAAAATGATAATACGTACACCGATGTACACAGTAATATTATTATACACGATAACGTATAGATATATTCACGAAGTAATGATAATAAAGTGTGGTGTTCGCGCGGGATGATTAGTAGTGTCGGCCGAGTTGTTGTTGTTGCAGTTGTTCGGCGTTGATTAATGATGATCCGCGGCCAACGACCACCACAGTCTTTAGGTATGCGTACATACCAAAGGTAACATGACGTTCAGTTAAAGTGGACGAATTGAGCGTTGTAAAAAAACGTACCGCAACTCCATAAACTAATGTACTATTAGGTCGAAAAATTGGCGTGTTCATGATTTTTCCATGGACAGATAAACAAAATAATTACTTTGCTACCACCCCATCCAAATTCTATATCGACATGTAATTATTTTCGTCGTGAGAAATCAACTCCAATCATCCCATTCGGGGTTCGCAATGGATATATAAAATTATAATAACAGTAATAATAACAGAAATGATTGACTGGCGTGATAAAAAACAAATTGCTAAATAGTAAAATCAGTCTACTATTAGGCATTAAGTTTTTTTATTTCAAAAAAATTAAGAAAAAAATAATACATAAATAGCTACACTTTTTACCATACTAATAACGTCATCACTATAAAAAATTGTTAGAAATACATGTGAGAAGAATAAAAACTGATTTTTTGAAATCATTTAATTAGTCACAGAAATGTATTGTAATACATTTCAGTAATAATATTGTAATAATAAGTAAATATAATGACAAATTAATATATGTACAAAAAATAAGTACTATAGTACTTATATACTTCAGTATATATACTGAAGGTCCTCTCTGATGAATTCAAATGTTAAAAGTGAAATAACAATGTTATTAAGATGAAGTACCCTAATCATATGGAGTTTGATAAGCACAAAAACAAAAGTCGGATTAATTTATTTTCATTTAACGTTTCAAAAGAATTTAGTTATGTTTCGATAGTATGTGTTTTACGTTATAAGTTGTATCATAATTAATGATATTTTATGTTTATTGATGTCATATATTTTTGGGTTTTTGTTTTTTTGAATACGTATTGAAACAATTTTACATTTTAAAAGTTATAATTGTTATACGTTTTATTCCTCTAGATAATAGTATTTTAGAAAAAACCCAAGATTGGGAATCGTATGAAACATTCGTGTGTATGTAAAAGATGTTTCACAATAAAAAAACGTTTTTTCTGTCGTATAAAAAATTGTTGTAAAATGTAAAAAAATTATTTATATACGTTTTTCATTTTAGACTATTTTTGTTATACTGTATATTTCTTTCTTTATTAACATTATAAAATATTAAAATTGTATCAGTAAATTCTCAAGATTTTGACAAAAAAAATTTAACCAAATGTCTCAATTACACAAGGTAGTTAAAGTTCAAATAGGTCCGATGAAACAAATAATGTTATTTTATGTATCACAGCATTTTGTTGTTCATCATATTACCGCATGATAAAAGCTGATGGAAAAGTAATGAGAATTTTTCGTGAAATGTTTATTTTTACTATATTTGTTTTTTTAACATAACATTTTATAATAATCTATTTTTAAATTGATTATGAGAATTTTTCGTGAAATGTTTATTTTTACTATATTTGTTTTTTTAACATAACATTTTATAATAATCAATTTAAAAATAACTTATTTGTTCTTTCATAATAGAACTAAAAAAAGGGTCATATTACCACCTTAAAAATGTTTTAACCAAAAAATATAGTTCAGAAAATGATAAATAAAAAAAAAAATGGGGATACAGAAAACATTTTCTTGTATTAATGCTTCTTTGACTAATATATAAAAATTTCATTATTTATTACTTACTTTCAGTACGATCATTTTTTTTTTTATATATATATTATTTACTTTATTTTTATTACAATATTTGATAGCCATAAATACCTTAATTTATTAAAATAATAACAGCCATATCACCTCATTTATCCAATATTACTTTGAGTTTGAAACGTCTGTACAATTATTAACGCATCTGTAATATCAATCGTGTAATGTAAAAAGGCAATAAATTTACGAATTAAGATTACTGAGGTCTATAAAAACGAAATGAAAAGGAACTCAAAGATAAAACAATATTTTTTGCTTTGAGTTTATTTCAAATTTTACAATTACTAAAACTATATCAAGCGTGTAAAATGTTTTATAAATCTCGTAAAATATTTTTTCGATAAGATTTTTGGATAAATCTAATGTCCTTTTCCATTTCTCATTATTATGAGTTTAAACATTTAATATAATAAAAAAAAAAAGATATTTTCTACAAAATTTAAATATTGACACAACACATTCCAAGCGACTTTCTTACGTTAAATTGTAATTCGAATATCTCAATACTTTCTTTGTATTTTTTAAATATATTTTTTTGTTTTTGCGTAATTCGATTCAATTAAGAAAACATTTGAAAACTTCGGTTTCACATTTTTTTGCTTTAAATATTATTTCAAATAACAATTAATAAAACTCTAATTTTATAGAAAATATGCCTGCAAATAGCAAACATAATAAAATTCGGCTAACGATTTCAAAAAGATTATTAATCTAAACCAAAGGTGTTAAAGTGGTACCCCCATCTGTCATTGGTGCAATATATTTTTTATAGAGAACTTAAAATTCCAACTATTAGGGTTCACGAACACTATGATGTGGGTACACATCTGCCGTTAAAAATCTCATGCCCGAGGACAACACTCAACTATTACATTGAATCTGAGTTTGAATCAATTTACAATTAAAAAATATTCAGCACTCGATACATTCTATAGATGTATTCTACCATTTACTCGGTCTACACCGCCTTTGACTGTAAAACCAATGAGCCTTTTGAAAAACTCTACAGATTTATATAATTGAAGAAAATACTCGGTACCGACGCAAGTTTTGCTCAGCCCATATAAAATCATGATTGCCAAGCAGGGGGTTATTGAAATAGACTTCCCCAGTAATAATGATAAAACGGTAGAGATATATTATATTATTTTTTAATAATATAATAGTATTTTTCGTTTGCCCGATAGTAAATGTATTTCTTATGTATATCCTCCAAAAACAAAACCCTAACTGCAATGTGTGGAACCCCAAGAACCGAGAAGTCTAGGGGGTAAGCGTTACACAAGCGCTTACCCCAACCTTACGCCGGCACTAAATTTACTTGAAATATTTTCTACAATACAAAATATAAATAAAAGCTAGCTGAATAACATTTTATTCACAAAAAAAAACTAAAAATTTAAGATAGAAGAAAAAGGAATTTGGAAAGTTCATTATTTTTTAATAACGTTAATGGCTTGCTTTTTTGTTGATCGTTATAGCGACCAATTTAAAATAGAAACAAAAAAAAATTGCACTCAAAAATTTTCATTAAAGCTATATACATAATTTAATTTCCTAAAGTCCGAAATTAAAAACACGTTTTGTTCTCAACTTAAGTCTGAGGAATATAAGCGAAAAGTACGTGTGTACCATTGTTGTTACATTTTTAACACTGCGTGTTTAAAAAACCAAAATTTACATTGATTTAATGAAATATTTTAAACGTTTTATACTGGTTACTTATGTTTTAAACAGGATTTTTTTTAACAATCCTGGTATGTACACATTAATGGTACAAAATATTTAAAGACAAATACTTTGGGATAGAACTTGTTTTTTTTATTATTGGGCAACTGGAATTGTTTAGTTTTGAATGGCTCATAAAACAAGATATTAAAACTTTTATTCTTGATGTGTAATTATTCGAAGACATTTTATTTTTAATATCCCAATATTTTTTTTTGTTAGTTACTTTTGTTTAATAATTAAAGATATAATAACATTGAACAAAAAATTGAAGTAAAAATATGTTTTACTTGTATAATATTTGTAAATTATGTCAATTCGTTGCTATCCATATCTTTGATCACAATAATAAACAGATCATAAAACGAAGAAAAATGTATTTTGATAAAAACGGATTAGTCACCAGTTCGAAACATAAAATTCAATTATAAATTGTACAATTATACAATATTTAGTATAATATAATACTAATGATTAAATAAAACTTGCCATTCAAATGGGTTCATATTATAAAGCGAATTTTATGTAGTTGTAGATTATAACGATTTAAAAAAAGCCTATTCAATAAATCGAAAAACAAAAATAACTCTCGATTTCTATTTTTATTAATAAAATAGATTTTTAAACGTATTAACTGAGACGTGGATAATTTACTACAGATGATTCAAACTTCGTAGTCCATTTCATGTCAAAGAAATTGACCATCTGATCTGATTAGAAACACCCTTCTGGCTCTCTGACAAATTTTAATCCAGACATTCATTTGACTATCTTAATGATAATTTCCAAAGGAAATCTCTCGATAATATTACACATGGAGCAATACGGAGTTTAATAAATAACGATCGTATAACAATGTAATGGACATACTACTCTGATGCAAGACTTATCGTTATAATATATTACTTCTAGATATTATGTCAACCTTGTCGTAAATACTGATATTGTTAAAAACACGTGTAACCTTTTTGGGTGGCGAGGGATCGCATTAAATGGAAGTGTGGGCCAACGACAGTAATAATAAAAGGATAAACACAAAACATGGTTTGTAGGAAAATTAGTTTTCAATACCGAAATATGTTTGTCATCATTATTTTATATGGTATTGTATTTTTGTCTGACAAATCTATCCAATCTCACATTATTATTTTGTTAATTTACAGAAAAACCGTTTCGATGCGGAACACAATTGAAAAGAATCGATTACAATGATGTTATGTTAAATTAATGCATTCTCGCTCGAGTACAAACGTGTTAACAAGATTAATGTCTTTATTGTGCTTCGCTGTGGTCGCAGAGAAGGTAAAAGTAACTAAGTAATTTATGGCGAATGTGTTTACCGTGTAGGCTTGTTTGCGGTCTATAAAGCAAAAACGACATACTTCGTATAAGTGATTCGTTTGCCTCGAGATGAAAGTGAAAATGATATAATTCGGCCGGGAGGTAAACCACAGAGAAATTGAAAAATGTATTCTTTATTTATTGCGTTTCTCGTGCAATTTAAATATGACAATCGGTTTACGTGATAAACGTGTATACGCGGTGGGTACAATGGTCTATTTGGTTGATAAGTCAAACGTTTAAAAGTTATTAAATTCACACTCGAAGCGATCAAGAATTACTAATGAAAATATTTTCTCAATTTTAGTTTTAGAAAAAAACATCAAGACACGTAATAGAAATTGGAAAATAATTTTTTACTCGAGTAATTATGCAACGTGTTTATCGCCTCATATCACATCAAATGAGTCTTAATAGATTTCTACTTGGACACTTTAATTAGTCATTACTTTAGAGTTTTTAGCGTTGTGTGCCAAACCAAATGTAATAAACACATGAATACGAATGCAATTTAAAACAATTAAACAGATTATTTTGTTTAAGCGAGAAAATTATTATGAAAATCAAATTTCAAAATATAAAATGGTATTTTAAGCGTACCGATTTTTATGGTTGACACTATGCGTCATTTTTTTAACTAAATCTAACAGCGTGTACCTAAGGTTAAGTCTTCCCTTGACGGTAAGGGTCATAGAGACCGTTGATACGTGTGCGTTTTCGAATATGAGGGGTTTCTTTTTGCTTTTCCAGTTCCAAGAATGAGAAATAATAAATTGAAATATCAACAGACTAATATTAATATATTATACTATACAGATGAATAAACCGGTGTATTTCGGTTGTTAATGTGGTATAGTGTAATAAAAAACTAGACGGTAGAGTTCACAGTAGGATAGATCCGCGATGACAAGCGGAAAGCAATACTTCACCGCCGCTGTCATAACTCTTTCGTTGCCAACCACTGACCGACCGTCAGATGGACACGACGATGCCAGTGATGACGACAAAGGTGTGTATAGTAACAGCAATATGATGGACACGCGGCTAAAACGCACAACAGCAAAGGTTTATTCGGAAACGCAATTCAAGACGGATTCCTAGATTATAATTACGAAGGGGTTAGCAGTGTCCGGTGTGAGAAGAAGATACCCTTAGTCGGGCGTACACCGGGTAAACACAACCCGTTCTCCCCTCATTGTTTTGGTCACCGTTGTTTATTCTTATTATTAATAGTCGTAAACGGCCCCCGTATCGCATAACGGAAAAATATTCACGACGACTGACCGATACACAACAGTTTTTTGGTTTTATCTTATAAGGGAAACAGACAAAGGAGGTACACACCTTAACGCAAAACGTTGTCAAAAGGAGTCCGCATAATATTATTAGCTTATTTATGTTTAAACTACACAGACGAATAGTTCCTTTCTGTCCGTTATAAACTTACACAAAATAAATACTCTCCCCTTTTTTCATTAAATGTTATAAAATCTCATTACAGCAACAATAACTTTACATGCCAATGAGTATACTCAGTTTTATACTTCTTTTTGACGACCGAAACATTTAGTTTTCGAAAAAGTACAAAAAAATCCATTTTTAACTTATTAATAATTTTCTTTTTACTATAAGAACTGCCGGTTAACGTTTATTTCTATCAATAAACATGCGAGTGAATCTTGTACGCGTTTTGAGATTAGATTTGCCACAGCAAAGAAAACATATTTTCTAACCCCTAATTTTGCCTTTTCAAGTTTCAATTCGTGCTCTAAATAATACTCGTCATTTAACGTGCATTGTTTTTAGAGAAGGGTTAAGAGGTAGTTAAAAAATCTACTAAGCATACCGACACACGTCGAAAACACCATGTGCAGAGGACACGTGCTCACAGATACCTTTTGTTTTTCTACGGCAAGGATCTCATTACAAAATTAAAAGACAAATAAAATTATCCCTCAACGAGTAGACGCCGTCGGAGCGTTCTCGAAAGCGAAGTTTCCCTTCATCGTTTTTTCATTACCCACCACTTAACACGAACACTGTACTAATCCTCTTTCGGGTTGTTCATGAACAATT